CTGCTTAACTGGAGGCACGGTTTTTTACCTTTAAATACTAATACTTTAAGTGTTTTAATTATTAGCCGAAGGGACGAGTAAACATTTGTTACCAAGAATATTTTATCGTTAAATCAGCTCTGCCGTGCGATTCTCATAATCCGTGAGTTCACCTCGCACTAACAACGCTCCCTTCGTTACTCAAGTCATTTTTGAAATCTCATGGTATTCTGTTAAGCAATTTCACATTACGTTTTGACAAGCGGAGGGAGCTTGTAGTTTATCAGAATGCGAAATCGTAAAATGACTGCTTCACGACTGATTTGAGCGCGACCGCCTCTGCGAAACCGCTGTGAGAGTTCGAAAAGTGAGTTACAGAATCGCACGGCAGGCCTCAAAAGCCTTCACAGTTTTATGTGCATGTTTTTTTTATAAATCGTTATTTGAGCTTAAGAATTGGTAGCACCTATTTATTATTTAATTATTTTTATTTGTAAATATGTTATGTAAAAAGAAATACGTCAGAATTTCTGTGCTTGTTTTTCTCAGACCAAATCGTGTATTATATAATAAAATTATATAACAATATCTATAAAATATCCCATTATTCTGAAATCATTAATCCGTTTTAATACACCGTTTAACTAAAGTAATCTGTCTCTTTTCATCACAGCATAAACTCAATTTGACAAAAGAGATGAAAGAGTACTTCAATAGAGAGTGCAATTAACAAGCAATCGGTTATAATTAAATACGAATAAACAAATGAGTTTAACTTTATCGAGTACGTATTCGTAAAGTCTATTCAAAATACTTTACGAAACTATTGCACTGTATTAACGTCATATCTAGGAAGCTAGGCACAGATCTTGTTAACATTAATAATAAAATTACATTATTTTTCCAACGATAATTTTATCTAGAAAAATATCTTATTAATGCTTATGCAATTATAACGCACGTGCGTATTGCAATTTATAAATTATAAATTGATATTATTGATTGATTTATGTGGGGCTTGCAAGGGGCACTCTAAATGCATAAAGAAGTTATCATAACTCGCCTAGAAATAGCTTGTAGTGTTCGTACGTAAGTACGTATACGTTCGTTCGTTTGTTCATACAATATAATGTAGTTTTGCATGTTTGTCTGCAAAGAATAAAGTCTCGAATTCAACATAAAAGTCGGCATAAACACGATATTAAGATTTTTCTAAGAAATGCTTTCAATGATAGCTAAGTTAGAAAGTTGGCAGAGTCTGTAATTCGGAGGATCGGGTCATTTTCATAAAGTCTAAGAGGACTAGAGTAAACTTCAGTCCAATTTAACCCAAAAATATCATAAGTTTGCCCGTTCGCCCCTAATGAATCCCTACGTCATTTCACCAGATTCAAACACACATCCCTAAAAGCCTCAGATAGTATTGGAATACTTGGTTCAACACCAGTAAAATCCTATTACACAATATGACAGATACAAAACAATCACAACTACATATTAAAACTTTAAATCTAATAACACAGGAACAACTTATAAAATAATGATAATAGTTATAAAATATAAAAATAGTTAATTAGCCTGGAATGAATATTGAGTGTGAGAACCGAAGGATGTCTGAAGCGGCGCCTTGCCGGTTTTTTTTTTAGAACGGGCAAATGGGCAGGAGGCTCATCTGATGTTAAAAGATACAAAGGGCTCGGGAGAATGTTGCTACCTTTTAGGAATTGGTACCCTCTTTTCTTGAAGGATCCTTAGTTGTATTGGTTTGGAAATACCTCGACGGACAGTTCCACATAGCAGTAGTGCACTGGAAAACGACGGACTGATGGCCATCGAGGTCATATGGGTGGATAGTGATTAGTTAGGATTAGGATAGTATGTATTACTTATTTAATTAATGCTGATAGTGATAGTGATCCTATGCATCTTGGATCTCACCCCTAAGTATCAATGTAAGTCTAATGTCGCTTTACACAATATTATAAATATTCAAAGACAGCTTTCATTTGCATTGCATTATGTATATGTTATCATTCATCACCGAAATGATTATAATTAATGTTGTTGAACAATACAGTTAAATTTAAATGTTTTAACCAATAAATAATAAGAAATTATTGTCAATATATGACATATCGCTTGCCTCGGGGAACAAAGTCTCGAAGCACTATTAGGTACGACTGTTTAATGATTTCTAATTTTTGAGTTCCTTGAAATTATTTTGTGCACTATGTTAGTAATACTCGTTTACCTACCTCATTTTACCTCCCCTGAAATAGATAGCAACAACCATAAAGATAGTTTTAGTTTAGATTATAATTCTACCAAATACCTAAAGAGTGGTAATAATTATATCCTGTTTCACCGATGTCATAATACTATTTACACTAAGTACATAACAACAATGTTTAAATCGTCAAGTATGAAAAAAATAGCTTGCATTTGATATATATATAATTTTATATGTACTTAGTATCCCAGTAATAATAGCATTACCTTCTTTTATTTTTCCTGAAAAAAAAATAGATTTTGCTTTTACGACTTTGTTACCCAGGCAAACGATGTGTATGTTTATCATTTAAACATGAACTTGCAAAAATGATTTATGTCGCATTTTATAGAAAAGGTGCTTTTGTTTTTTTTAATATAACTTCAGTTAACTCCCCATTTACCGGTGCGTTTTAACCAATTATCCAATTCAACTAACCGTTAATACTTCAATTGTTAAATAATAACGTTTAAGTTAAACGCTCGTTGTTTTTTCAGTCACTTAGTTTAACTGAAAAGCTAATTGTTTTATAATTAAAATAGTCTAAGAGCTGACCAGATATCTCAGCTAAATTTTTCCCGCAACTCCCTCCGCGTGTAGAAAAGCAAAAAAGACAGACAGAAAGTCATATATTGTATGTTTTAACACCTTCCTCTTTCTTTTAAACCCCTCAAATCACAATGCATAGATCAGAAGATTTTGAGGGACATACGCCGAAATACGAAGTAATTTATTACTTTGTAAAGAAAACTAATTAATTTGCAATATTACTACAAAGGATCCGCACTGAACTTGTCTTTTCACTCTCGTCGCAATATAACTATATCTATATATTTTTTTGTATAGCCAACACCGTTATTAATTAAAAATATAGCGTTTAACTCTAAATAATTAAAGACACTTCAAAATACTATCAGATTTTATGAAGAACTGATAATATTTTGCTATATTCTTGATGGTTTCAATTTAATAAATAAACTCTATGTGCATTAAACTGCAAGCGCTTTTAAATATTAAATTTAGTTAAAAACCATATTCATTTAACAACATTAAGATAATTTAATTACCTGGCCGTGGGCGGGGCCTGCGCTGGGCGGGGCATGGGCGGTACGAGGTCAATGACCTGCCAAGCTTGCACTAGCTGATAGCAGCTTATACGGAATGAAGGCTTTAGTCTTATGAAGATCCTATTAACATTCTTAATGCGAAATTAAATTTGTTATTTAAAGAGTTGAATCAATTTTTTTTTTGTTAAGACTGTCGTGGGGTAATAATAATAATCAGTGGCGCTACAACCTTTTTAGGTCTTGTCCTCAGATTTCTGTATCTGTTTCATGATCATTTGTTAATCTAATAGGCAAGTAGGTGATCAGCCTCCTGTGCGTGACGCACGCCGTTGACTTTTTGGGTCTAAGACAAGCCGGTTTCCTCACGATGTTTTCCTTTACCGTTCGACGATGAGCGTAGATTTAAAAATGATCATGAAACAGATTCAGAAATCTGGGGCCAAGACCTAAAGAGGTAGAAGCACCACTGATTTATTTTATTAGTCCTCTGAGAACCCCTGTGTTGTGGATTAAGATAACAATTATTCCGTGTTACATGTTTAATTTTTTTTAAAGAAAATGTAGTCTGAAAGTCATTTTCGCGTTGTTGCGAATTATGCGTGCATGTGTGAGTATGTGAATGGGTAGGTATATGTGCGTATAAACACTTTGTATTTGATAGTGTGGCTGAGAGTTGTTGTAAGCATGCGCTGTCTTATTACTGTTTTTTTGTTGAAATTACGCATAAAGTTTTTCATAAACACTCAAATGCTTTGTTCATTCATTCGTTTGAAATGTGTTGTAAGAATGGTAAGGACTAAACAATTAAGATATATTTGACGGTTATGAGTAAGAGAGATAGACATTGGTGGATTAATTTAGTATAAGAACCATTAACCTACAAGTATTAGTTATAGTATAGGTTTCCTAACAAAATAATTGTTTCATATTAGAAGACATCTAAACATCTTTATAGTTTAGTTAAACAGTTCTGTAACGTTGTAGGGGAGAAAACTTTTGTTAGGATCAGTGAAAATTTACGCTGCGCTTATACATTACTTTTTGTAACAAATTTTTATACAGATAAGATAATATGTAAAGTGTAATTAAAAAATCCATAAAATAATGACTAAATGTCAGCAAAATCACTACCCTTCCATTGATTACCAAGACTTGAACACTGATCTATGACCACGGCTAATATTGTTAAAATAATATTGAAAACTTTACTTCAACATATGAAACTTAAAACATTTTTTACAAAATCTCTTATATCATTAATGTCAATGCTTTAAATAGATATATAATGTTTTTATCACTCTCGTAAACGTCCGTTTATTTATAAAGTAATTTTTAAATCAGTTGTACCTAATACCAATACTTTTCGCTCGCTATTCTAGCAGATTATAATATAAATTTTTATTGTATAGTTTCTTGATTAATCTTACAATTAATTAAAGAGCTTTAATTTAAAAAAATAATAGCCATAGAAAAGAAACGACAGTAGGTCAACTACAGAACAAAAACTAACACAGTTTTTTTCTTTTCAGATATTGCCATCCGTTTAACTAGACAACCGGTGCCTTTAACAATTAGTGTAGTGCGACGATGATGCGATTACGGACAATTACATAAACGTTAGAATATAAAAAATCGGTTAAAAAACCGATAAAACAGTTAAAGAAGCTGTTAGAAAAAATGCATTTATGAGCGACTGTTGTGATAATTACGGGATGTATACCACGTGGTATAGCCGGGGGGAGGGGGGAATGCATCACCACCAGATGGGTCAGCTATACCATGGACCCCCCATGATTAAGACTGAAGCTGGAGTTAATAGTGACTGTATGATGGCAGTGGATTATGCGCCTCCTATTAAGGTAAGATTTATAATAATAAGAATTTGCTTTTGATTAGTTTTACTACATCGAGTAAGTTACGCGCAGCGAATAACCCTACTGGACCTTTTTTTTTGGTGTCTGAGGTGGAAATGCATTTGCGCATCCCCTGCCTGGACTTGACCCGCGCCAAAATCTCTGCTATTCAGAGACTGGGTGAGTAATACCCACAAAAACCACCTCGAGTAGTTTCTACAAAGCCGCGTTACAGAGGCTCCGGGGTCGCTGTCGCATTCTACCGGGACGGAGGAGGAGGTAGGAGATAGGCATATCTTCTCCTATTTACTCCCCGTCTTCTAACCCTAGGATTCGTCCTTAAGCGCTCTCTGACTCTTTCTGCATCTGTAGCATAACATGCTCACAGAAAGATACCACTGCATTCCATACCTCATGACTGCCTACCAATTTTTGTACAACACAAGGCAAAGCCAGATTATTACCCACCACAAACCTACATGGTGTTGGTCTACTGTTTCGATTACTTCTTTTCATATTTAAACTACGTTTATATTAATAAACATTTAATGAATAAGATGATAGCAGGAATATTTTCTAAGGTCTTGGTTGTTTATCGGGTGGATCTATTTATTATTGCATGTTAATAGCGCTTTTTGGTTATATTTTTGATATATAAATACTTGACATTAATGAAGTCTTAAATATTAATAGATACTTTAACAATAACTATAATTACATCTATGCAATGTCATGTTCTTAGGTCCACTCATCTTACTGGTTTAACCAACTGTTTTACGATAAGGAGGTCCGTAGTTGAATCCAACGAATCGCCAAACACGTTATTTTAACAATATAATAGATCTAACAAGATAAGGTAAAGAAACGTCTATCACTGTAATCTAATAATAATAATAGGTATAACGATAAGTAATTACATTTCCATTTCTAATTTTAAACGTTAATATCTCTGTTGGATTCTTATCGCCTAATTAAAGCCATCAATGTTCATTTTAATCCAAGATGGAAGTTTTGAAAGCTTTAACGCATCCCCGCACTACAGAGGACGAGTGTTTACGGGACTCACTCCAGGACCCTCCACATCTCAGGAACCGGGTAAGCAAAACCCACCGAAGCCACCTCGGGCGCCAAACTGCCGCATAAGAGATTCACCTTTGCATTCTTGGAGGCGATGAATTGAGATTTATAGGCCAAATGATTGTTACATAAAAAATCTTGTCCCAAGCCTAATCAATGAAGTGGAAATGTCGTCGTGCATAACTAATATTGTATTTATACTGTCTCAGTGCCAGTGTCCGAGGACAGTGTAAAATGTGGTCTAGCGTTCTTATCAAAGAACATCATTTAGAGACCTTCTGGATCCAGCCTATACGAAGCATGCGAAGATAACACCGCATTTCAATGCTTTTAAGCGCCGGCGGCTATCTTCTTTTACTGTCCAAGCTTCATACAATACAGAACAATTGTTCAAGTGACAGCACAAACCATTCTTAATTTTATTGAAAGTTCCTCGGCAACATTGATAATGATTAAATTTAACAGCCGCTGTCAAGCCACTTATATATATATATTATATACCTTCCCGACAGGCGTAATATCAAATAGGCCCGATTTTCGCCTAACATCAGGCGACGGCAAATCGCTTTTTAATCCAGTAGTTAAAAAAGATACTTCAAACCGATAATATAAATTTAATACTAATTTGATAGCTAGGTATATCTAGTAAATGTAATGTCTATACCTGACTGAGTATTAACACAAACACAGTAATGTTTGAATTAATTTTATACGTAATAATAATGTAATTTATGCGCACCAAACAATTTTCACTAACCACCTATCCTAGACTCTGAACTGAGAACTGTTGGTGAGGTAACTTAATAAATTTATTGTATTCCTTATTTCATATTATAATTTAAAAAACCAGAATATTTTTCATAATGAGAAGAGAGCCAAGATTTCATGCATTGAAATGCTGAAAATTGTTTGCCTTTACAGAAACCGTGTCGATTAAGATAGGCTGCGAGTCTTATACATCATATCACTACAAAATTAATAATAAATTGTGATTATTCAGTAATATGTGAATATTGCTAATCTGAAAGTACCGTATTTACAGATCACTCGTATCCGTATTTAATGTCAGATCATTAGCTCAGTTGCAGTTGAACGGACGATGAATGGAATGTCGTTCGTTCACTCCATACACATAATTGTCTAGTAAAGGTTACAGACGTGATAGGATTTTAATTTGTTTCAAAATATAATGAAAAAATCAGCACCTAACCAAAAAATTAATTTAATTAAGAAAGTAAAAAATGTATATGTTTCCAAAGTACCTTCAATATCATTGTTGTATTTATAATGTTTATAAAAATTTGGCTTTACCTAAGCATAAATATATTGATAGAAGGATAATAATGTATGCAAGAATCTATTTGTAAAATAGTCTTGTCATAACAGACTGTCAGCCAGATCAGATTATACATAAACTAATAATTATTTAAAAGAATAAGTAATAAAAAGTATAATAAGTGGTTTTACAATCAATAAATTATTTATTTATTTTATACACGCCAGCACAAAATATTGTTTATAATGTTTAAGTTAATTTTTAATTGATCCAATGTGACCTTGAATATGTATCTATATATCCTATTAATAACCCCGTAATTTATGGTTTATGTGTAATATATTTAAATATTTAAAATATTTGAGTTAATTTATCAAAGCTATCTTTAACTGTACCATTTCCTTAGAAAATGCAATTGATTTAAATCCATAATTTAATTAAAAACATTTATACCATTTAAGAAATTGCATATCTATTTCTATTGTAATCGTAACAGGAAAAGTGTTACAATACAATGACGATATCATCTATAATTTTTAGCTTTGTGCGTCTTAGATACACTTATTCTTAGAAATATAAATGATCATCAAACCATGACAAGTAAAACCATGTGACCAGCGTATGAAAATTAATTTGAACTATTTTGTTTATCATTAAGAACATTACAATATTCACTTTCATGAGAAAATATTCATTACCCTTATTAATTAATTGTATATTACAATAGTAAAAAAAGTAACAGCAGACAAGAAACAGAAGACTTTTTAGATAAAAATACAGCTTTCAACAGCTACACAACACAAAATAGAAAACAACAATGCCTAATTAGAAGTAATTTAACAAATAACACAAAAATTTATAATTTATTGTCCGTCAGAAAGTTTACACATTTCCTAAAGCAGGAGCATGAAGCATTGATAAGTTATATATACTGTTACTGCGAAGGGACCAATGTACTTCTACTGTAATCTGAGAGATAAATAATTATTGATAAAATAAATCATGAAAGCCGATTTCTTGCACAATATTTTCTCTTAGGATTCCGAATCGAGGCTCTGCGCTCAGAATTACTCCGCCAAAAATGTATTTGATTTGACATATAGGTAAGCTTCTAACACGTTCTTGACATACGGGAATCATAAAGGAACATTGACGTTCATAAGTGTACATAGTTAAGAAAATAAAATAAATCAGTGGCGCTACAACCTTTTTAAGTCTGGGCCTCAGATTTCAGAATCTGTTTCATGATCCTTTGTCAATCTAATAGGCAAGATGATCAGCCTTCTGTGCTTGAAATACGCCGTCGACTTTTTGGGTTAAGGCAAGCCTTCCTCACGATGATTTTCTTCACCGTTCGAGCGAATCTTAAATGCGCACAAAGAAAGAAAGTGCATTGGTGCACAGCCGGGGATCGAACCTACGACCTCAGGGATGAGAGTCGCTCGCTGAAGCTACTAGGCCAACACTGCTCATCAAGTGTACATAGTCACCAATATGATACTTTACCTATACTAACACTGACCACTTGCTAATATGTAATGTGACGTCAATACACCAGTACCCCCTTATAAGTCTATGCTAAACGCCCAAGTCTTCACACACGAGTTTCTTGCTCTGTTTCTTTAACTCCACTTTTTGCAATTAATAGTTTTTATAACAAAAAGGGATGTTAATGGTTTCTAGTTAATCGGTCCAGTAATGCACCATAATTAACAGTGCCTTGCAATAATTTATAGGTTCTTCGATTGGCAAGAATTTTATCACAGTTTAAATAACTGTAAGGCGCTTGCTGAGTTGAGAATGCCTTATTATAAAATGTGGATTAAAGTACATCCTAAACCTATTAAAGTAGTCGGTCGGGTTACCATGGTAACGACGTTTTTATAATGCGGTAACAACGACGGAACTATAACGTTTTATAAGGCTCTGCTTAAATATAGTATTTATATCTTTCTTAAATGAATCTACATTTGTACAACAATTAATTGGAAAAATATAATATATGTGTGTAGTATAAAGAAATCTGATATAGGTTAATATGTTTTACTACATTTTTATACGTTATAAAATTTTGATTAGTCTTTGTGTACTGGATGGTTTGACACGGAAAAAATTACTCTATACTATGATAATAATTAGTACTCTAGCAATAGAAAGCGATTTCAATGTAACTCTTTTAATTCCCGTTACAAACATGAATTACTGTGTTGCTGTGGTTGGTACTCAATATTGAAATAGGATCAGAATCGGTCTTTAAATTGCATAGCATTTAAGGAAGACATTTAGTTAACATCTTACAAATAATTTACCTTCAGAAGTCACTTTCAAACTTCTAAACTACGCACACCACCTTCAATGTGATTAACCTATTTTATAATTCCAAAAAACAATCTTAAACAGGTGCCATCGGTTTTTTGTTAGATTTTTCTAAACCTGTCCGCTTTCCTGTCAGATCACCCATTCACTGAACGATGAATGGACAAGAGTCATTCACCGGAGCTTAAAATCAACAGTTAACAAGAAGATTATTCACGTAATGCGGTTTTTACGAGAAAATAGGGCTGTCTAGAGGATGCTGTTCAATGTACTAAAGAACTTATAACCCACAAAGAAAATGGCGTATGTGAATTATGTTTGTATGTTCAGTATTTCCAGTCACTATTGTATGACATTGTAGTCAAATTTGAAATATACCAAAGTTCAATGTGATACATATTCCTGCTGATCTCGCTATTCAAGCTTACTCCTTTAGATAATTACTTCTACCAAACGTTTTAACGGGAAAAGTATTCCTCTAAAAATTTATTTCTTCAGCCCTAAAGCCTACTATAAGAAAAATAAGAGAGATAGATGAGTGATGCCGTCCGTGGTGAATCGTGTGCAGCCGTGCGTACAGTTTCGATGCAGGTCCGAGTTTTTTTTGGCACGGGCTTAGATTAAAAATTTGTCATTCAAATTCTGTTATGCAAGGATGGCTTGGAGCGATAAATTGATATTACGGTGGCTGAATTAATATTTATTGTATAGCAATATTTTAACTTATTTTGATCTATTAATTCTTATACTAGAAGAATATGAAAGGTTGACAGTATCGAAGACCTCGGGGGTGGCAACCAAGGGAGACAATTCTGACCGTATTAAGGCAATGTTATAACAATTTGAAATAAATTTTAAACGTAATTATAATTTACTTGTTTTAAGAAAAAAGCCCAGTGAACCAAGTAAATAATTGGACAAATTCAAATTCAAAATTTATTTATTCATTTAAGTACAATTTGTACACTTATGCAAGTCAAATTTACGCCATCCAAATGTTAGTTTTATCTTCCACAGTTAGAGAAATGTATTAGGTTAAATGATTTTTTTTAAATATATAAGTATATCCTATAATAGATTAACCTAAGTAATGTCCAAAAAACAAACAATGATTCTTAAACCTGTAAATATTGGAGTCACTTTATAGAGATATCAAAATAATAACTAAAGTGTACCAAATAATATTTGTATATTTATAAAAAAGCTAATCATTATTTGATGGACACAATTCCGGTGATCGTAAAGCCAATAGCTTCTGTGGCTTCCGAATGCAATTTGTGGTGTTGCACCCAACTATTATAGTAACTAGATTCCTCTTATGCAAGGCGAACTACACAGTAGCTCTATTGTTCATAAACTACCAATCCAATAACCCTCTTGAACTTTCTCTATAATTAAGTATAGATAAAGAAAAAACTTTTTGACCGGATTAAGCGTGCGTGGTCACGGTGACACGCTGTAAAGCACGCGAAACGCCGGATAAATTTAAAATTATGTTAAATAATT